TGTCCATTTTTGGAAGGCCAAACAAAGTAGTTTCACTTTCACAACGAAACACACAGCGTCACACACGGTGGCCTTGAGTGAGCGGCCGGCGGATTCGATGAAGGAGCGGCAACCACATGTGGCGACCCCGGGCTGGACTCTGCTTCGTCCACGGTGAAAGCCGATCCGGCGATCCACAGCGCAAAGTTGATGTATTTCCTCAGCGACCAGCACTGATCAGCTCTAGGCATGACGAAGCAGATATCGTCCTCTTTTTGAAGGCCATACAAAGTAGTTTCACTTTCACAACAAAGCACACGGCAACAATACTACAGCGAGAATAAAATTTACACCTTCATTCTTTGCGTGAACATTTGGGCGGCGTTATGCAAATCTTCCCACATCGTGACGTAGACATGTGGGGGCGTGTTAGAACGAGCCGTTTTAGGTAGGCGTGGTTGACTCTTAACTTTTATAAAGAATATCTCTTTGATTTTGAGACTTTAGTCTTTGCAACTTTACAGATCTTCTTTATGCATCAAGAGCTTGTAACACTCCAAAGAGAAAGGAAAAATTGAAATCGTATCATACGACCCCTTTAAGCTAAGCCCTGTCTGTGAAACATACAAATCCTTTTGATATATGCCAACATATGGTTAAAATAAACTTCAAGGTGCAGATCTTGGAAAATGCTAACTTTAGCCTGATAGCACTGAAAGCGAACATCCCACTCTCCCTGCAATTACGCTCACAGACCAGAATACCAGAGACAACATTACTACAATAGGCTACATCAGCAGTTCCCCGAAAGCCAATTAAAACGCTCGGACCGAGCGTTTTGATTGGACGAACATTTCTTGATCCTACGCCTTCCACAGAATATATAAATACAGACAAATACATTTAGACCACTTAACTTAATGATTGCTATCGGGATGTGAAGAGACTTTCAACCAGCATAACAAAAAAATGTTTCTGAAGACAATCACCTATTGCACCTTTAAGAAATTGACCAACTTCATTATGAAAGGTAAAACAAGGTAACGTGTGGAAATTGAAAGTCATCATTTATCGTAAAAAAATTAGAAACAAATTTAATAAAATGTCTATAAACCTACATTGTGTACAATAAAATAAAACATGACATTTTCATTTTGAACCCAGCCAGATATCATAGTGATATACAGCAGTGCATTCTGGGCAATGAACAAACACTCTATAAATAAATCACAAGTACACAGCTGATAGTTATGAACTTTATTGAAAGCATCAAGCTCTTATATCAAGTACAGATATATTCAGCACATCTTGACCAACCAAGGAAATAGCAAGAGAATTGGAACAGCAAAGTTTCCCCTTCCTTCCCAACTTCATGTGAAAATCCCGTGACAGAATCCTTTCTATAGTTTCCTTACCAACCAACACAGGCTGGGCAGAGCTAGTAGAAAGAGGGAAAAAAGGTCCAAATCATCTGAAAAGGTCACTCCTCACCTCAGAACAGGGTCCGAAAACAAACAAAAAAGTAGTATATATATATATATATATGTATATATGTATATATGTATATGTATATATGTATATATATATGTATGTATATATATATGTATATATATATATATATGTATATATGTATATATGTATATGTATATATGTATATATATATGTATGTATATATATATGTATATATATATATATGTATGTATGTATGTATGTATGTATGTATGTATGTATAGATAGATATACTTGGTCCCCCTCCACTCATGTATACTGTATAAATCCCACATAGAAAGACCAGAAAAATGTTTGAAACCACCACCCCTTCACCGGAAAAATACTAGGTGTGATATGCGATCATGCTCATGTTATTTCTCCCAGCAGTGGTCTACGTCTGACACCAATATTGTCCGTTAAATCAAATTTAATTGCTTCGTCTTTTTTCTCCCTCTGAACTACAACTGTAAACATCCAGCTGCCCTTTGACCTTTCAGAAGGCTTTTAAGACGCATTCGTTACTAGACTGGCGTTCTGTAGAGAGACCTGGCCTTTTCAGATTCTCTCAGCGGCAGGACCTTCTAGTAAAGAAGATTTCACGAACCCATCTGCCACTACGAAGGAGATGTAACAAAAACATCATCATCCTCCTCCTCACAACTACACCAGCTGCGTAACTCGGGAGGGTAAAAACCACACCCACCGCTCATCACACTCAGGACCTATGAGCAAAGTTTGTTACGTCGTACGAACAGAAATTAAAAGTGTTACAAAGGGCTGAAGCGGAAACATCCTGCTTGTACGCTAGTCGCATGCAATAGCACACGTGAAATTTTTTTTACATTTTTTTTCTCAATGCACAAAGAGAGCATGATCTGGAGAGGTGTACAAATCTACTGCAAAAAAAGGGAATTAATAAAACTGCACTTTATGCAGGCGTGGGGTGTGGAATGATCCGGGTCAGCCCTGACATGCTCAGATCAGTGCGCGCCTATTGTGTGCTTACTGTAGAAAAAAAGAGAGAGGACTCATTTTGTTTAGAAAAAGAAAAAAATGCTTTGCTGTGCGATCGGCACACTAAAGCAAAGTGTCTGTCCAAACGTTTCAATTCAAAGGCGTGCATTAAGCAGGCTCTGCGCTGGACAGCCCCAGGGTCCTTCACCATTCCCTCTTCAATGGCTTCTTCTGCACTCGCTACATTATTCAGAAAAATCCATTCTTTATAGATCATATTGTCACGTTTCAACGAACTAATGTTTTTACTTTTAATACATTCATGTTAAATGCCATTTGATTTTGAGGAAAGGAAGACAACGGCTGACTTTCACCATAATGGTTATATATGGCAGAGTATATGTTGTTGACACTTAAGGCAACAGTTAAGTAACATTCACTTCTCTGTATTATTGAAACCAGCACGGTTTTCCAAAACAGCCCCTAAAAGAAGCGCAGGCTGTCGACATCGAAGTTCCTCAACTTCAACTCAACGCTCACTTCTCTAGCACACCGAATAAACACAGCTGCCTGCAGGGCTAAAAGATGGACGAGGAATATTTTAAGTTTGTTTTCAGGACTTCTTCACACACTGTCAGAGTAGTTAGCTAGCTACACACAGTTGAGCTGAACACATGCTGAGCGCCGAAAAATGACCAACGCCATGTGTGTTAAAAGAAATGAAATGCAAGTCAACCAACCTCTTCGCACACTGATGAGCTCGCGTCGGATCTGAGCGTGTCAGGGTCCTTGTCTAGTGAGGTCGGAAACCCTGTCTGTGGGAGATGCGAGGGGACACTTGCAGGAAGGGAAGGGAGCATTGCATGTACTGGGATGATGGTGTGACATGCCTCACACACACCACCACCGCCATGTTCAAGAACCCTACATGCACTTCAAGATCACAGCAAGAATGGGCTAGAATATCTACAGAGACACGAGAAGAGCTTTCATGCACGATATCTACGTCACAGGTACAAGTATGCATAAACGTTAAACTCGGGGAAGATCTACAGCCAGAAGACTCCACGCACAAACGCCGCCAGCCACACGGTTTCTTTTTACGCTTCTTCATTTCGGAGGTTCAGCTCTGCTTCTGCTGGCGATTCTTGGTGTAACTGGTGAAGACGAAGTTGTAGTCGTTGAAGTGTGCCGACTGGCGGTCCAGGACGCGGTATCCCTCCAGCTTCTGAGCCGAAGAGAAAACGCTGCGACATTTGGAGATCTGTTGGGAACGAGATAAACCAGAAGAATGAGTTTGACGGTCACACCTTACTTTAAGGTCCAATTCTCACTATTAACAAACCATTAACTATGACTTTGCCTCAATAAACTCCTAATTTGCTGCTTATTAATAGTTAGTAAGGTAGTTGTTAAGTTTAGGGTATTGGGGAGGATTAGGGATGTAGAACATGCTCATGCAGAATATGTGCTTTATAAATACTAATAATGTTAAGAATTTTATACCACATATGCATTATTTTTGCTACAACTGCACTGCACTGCAATTAGAAGGCCAGAGGCTGGAATCATTGCACACCACCTTCAATGTTACATAAATATTCATAGCAATCAATTCACAAGTATTATAATATATCTAATAATAAGTTAAAAAAATCACCTTTATTTTAAGGTGTCCTTGTTCCACGTTACATGTACTTACTATTATAATAACACTTAATTATGCATAATTACATGCAAGTAACCCTAAGCCAGAGTATATGTTGTTGACACTTAAGGCAACAGTTAAGTAACATTCACTTCTCTGTATTATTGAAACCAGCACGGTTTTCCAAAACAGCCCCTAAAAGAAGCGCAGGCTGTCGACATCGAAGTTCCTCAACTTCAACTCAACGCTCACTTCTCTAGCACACCGAATAAACACAGCTGCCTGCAGGGCTAAAAGATGGACGAGGAATATTTTAAGTTTGTTTTCAGGACTTCTTCACACACTGTCAGAGTAGTTAGCTAGCTACACACAGTTGAGCTGAACACATGCTGAGCGCCGAAAAATGACCAACGCCATGTGTGTTAAAAGAAATGAAATGCAAGTCAACCAACCTCTTCGCACACTGATGAGCTCGCGTCGGATCTGAGCGTGTCAGGGTCCTTGTCTAGTGAGGTCGGAAACCCTGTCTGTGGGAGATGCGAGGGGACACTTGCAGGAAGGGAAGGGAGCATTGCATGTACTGGGATGATGGTGTGACATGCCTCACACACACCACCACCGCCATGTTCAAGAACCCTACATGCACTTCAAGATCACAGCAAGAATGGGCTAGAATATCTACAGAGACACGAGAAGAGCTTTCATGCACGATATCTACGTCACAGGTACAAGTATGCATAAACGTTAAACTCGGGGAAGATCTACAGCCAGAAGACTCCACGCACAAACGCCGCCAGCCACACGGTTTCTTTTTACGCTTCTTCATTTCGGAGGTTCAGCTCTGCTTCTGCTGGCGATTCTTGGTGTAACTGGTGAAGACGAAGTTGTAGTCGTTGAAGTGTGCCGACTGGCGGTCCAGGACGCGGTATCCCTCCAGCTTCTGAGCCGAAGAGAAAACGCTGCGACATTTGGAGATCTGTTGGGAACGAGATAAACCAGAAGAATGAGTTTGACGGTCACACCTTACTTTAAGGTCCAATTCTCACTATTAACAAACCATTAACTATGACTTTGCCTCAATAAACTCCTAATTTGCTGCTTATTAATAGTTAGTAAGGTAGTTGTTAAGTTTAGGGTATTGGGGAGGATTAGGGATGTAGAACATGCTCATGCAGAATATGTGCTTTATAAATACTAATAATGTTAAGAATTTTATACCACATATGCATTATTTTTGCTACAACTGCACTGCACTGCAATTAGAAGGCCAGAGGCTGGAATCATTGCACACCACCTTCAATGTTACATAAATATTCATAGCAATCAATTCACAAGTATTATAATATATCTAATAATAAGTTAAAAAAATCACCTTTATTTTAAGGTGTCCTTGTTCCACGTTACATGTACTTACTATTATAATAACACTTAATTATGCAAAGACAAATGCAAGTAACCCTAAGCCAAACCCAGTAAGTGCATGTAGTTAATTAATATAACTCAGTACTTAAATGCATAATTACACTGGAACAAGGACACCTTTTTTTTCCAGAGCAATGAGGAAAAAGTTGCGGAAGTACCTGTTTGAAAAATAATCTTTTGTTGATTAGTTGTGTAATAATGTACCTGATTGACGAAAAGCGTTGTCACAAATTTCCCTGGTTTGAAGACATCCACGACTTTGCGGATAAGCTCGTCATAAGACGTCTGGGAGAGGTTGGTTTCAAAGCTGACATAGGAGAACTCTGGTTCGGGGGTGATGTGAATCGTCCAGTAAGTTCCCTAGAAAGACAACCGACCTCAATCACGCTGCAGAGCACAGAGCAACTTTCTCACAACAACAAAAACATGCAGCCTTAAATGACTCCTTACATCCGTTTTCATTCCATTCATGGAGTATCCACAAGGGTTGAACATTGTGGCATCAATCACTGAACCTGGAATCAGGTCACGAATTCCACTCATCTGTGAAGACACCACAGATAACCTTAAAGACACCTCACTAAATAAAGAAATAAATGGAGTGCATAAAGTACTAACATGATACATTGGTACTAGTAAATGGACCAGCATCCAGCAATAAGAGCACACATGACACTACAGAGCAGAAGCATAGAGGACGGATCGTACACGAGTGACATCATTAGCAGAAACACCGTCTTTCATGAAGAACTGGTCCATCACAGCCGGGTCGAGGTCACTCATCAGAACTTCTAGTGTCTGGTCCGCCTGCTTGTTCTCCCAGAACTCCGGCAGCTCCAGCGTAAACAGATACCTTCAGGACAGGAAGGAGAACAACGCCACAGAAATGGACAACAGATGATGAGCTTTTTTATTTTCCCCCCAAAAGAACTAAATTAAAAAAATTATCATTTATGAACAATTTAATCATTTATGAAACGTTGGCATAAAAAAAACAGACTTTACAATGCTAAAGTCTGGCCTTATTTAAAAGAGAAAAAATTCTGATACATATGCAACATTTATGGTGGTTTATCTGAAGTCAGATGGATTGTAGGAAGTCTAGATGAAGTAAAACGGCTCACCAGCAGTCTGAGTTCAGACGTCCCATACAGTAGGCTGCTCCATCTGCGCATGAAGAAAAAAAAAACATCTTTTAATCAGACAATACTTCATTCATAATGTTCACATCACTATCTCATTTTTGCAGCGTACTTGGAAAAATCTGGCTGAGGAACTCGACTTCCTCCTGGAAGTTGCGGTGAGGGAACTCTTGATGGGTGGGCTTCATAAAATTTTTACGAGAATAGAAGAAATTCTAAAAGAAAATGAGATGAGGTCAAGTCACATTTTCATAAAGACACTTTGTACTGAAAACTGACAATGTATTGATATGATGATGTGCCATAAATTCTTGCCTAAACATGCACCGGAGTGTGTGTGTGTGTGTGTGTGTGTGTGAGTGTGTGTGAGAGAGTGTGAGTGAGTGTGTGTGTGTGT